CCCCGCCCCCGGGGATGTGTTCGGTGGGGAAACACGTCGAGCGTTCAGGCTCGAGCGCTTCGGTCACCAAGCCATGAAACCGAGGAAGCCGCTAAATTCGATCAAAGTAAAACTACCCTTAAATTTATATAGAATTGCAAGTGCGAGTCGGCGACGGGGTTGCCGAGAGTTGGAGTAGCAACTCTTGGAGTTAAATGGAGGCAGCGCGCTTTGACAGATGCGCGAGGACCCTCCAGACGAAATCCCAATTCTCGTGGCCCTCGGGGCGCCGCGCATTTATATTTCCTATTGGTTATTAGATCGGGGATAGATATTGTAATCGGGTTTTTAAGCGAGCACCCCCGTGCCGCGGGGGGCTGCTCCTCGTAGGTGCGTGTCAGTGTGGTGCGTATGAGGGGTGGCTACACCCCCCGGCGTGCAGGACCGTCGGTGTCGGACGTAACGCGCCGCTTCGCTACGGAATTAAACGATGACTGCCTGCTGAGTTTTTGTCGACTAATATTTATTGTAAGGCCACCCGGTATCGATCGGCCAGGCTCGAAATTACAGGTTGCCCTTTCGGTGGGTCCAACTTTTAAATCGCACGTCGAACAAAGCCCCGAGGTTGTGGAAGAGCGATCCGCAGGACTGCCGACGTCACCGTCCTCACCGTCGTCCCCATTAACATCCTGAACATCATCATCGACCTCAGGATCCCCATCAGGACATCGGCTCACTCGGTGCAACCCTATCTGGCTTCGCTCCGACGTCCCTCGTGTAACGACCGGGCGCAGCATCCTCGTTAGTCTTGGTTAGGCTTTTTCAGGACGAATGACAGGCGAATCGCGCCTGGTGACTTGGCGCCATTTTTCCTATTGGAAAATTGGAGTCGATTGCGAATTGCAGGGTAGATTTCTATGGCCGTCATCCCGGCGCGCCCTTCTCCCCAATCAAAATTTCATTTCCTCCCATTCGAATTGCTCATCCGCTCGCTCTGCCCTATAGAGCTACCGTGCGCTGTCATCCTGCCAAGTTTTGACTCTGCCCCGATTTCCTGATCGGTCCTATTCGTTTGAAAAAAAACTTTTTTTCTTTTCTTCAAAATTGCCCAAAAATTCATTCCGAACCCCCGAGACACAGTCCTCTCGAAGGATCCGGAGTCCAGTTGCGATTGCGACTGCTGTGGCGCACGGGCCAGCAAAGGGCAGCCGGAGAAAGGAAGGAGCAAACGGGCGGGAGGCAACGAGGCAGACGAGTCAAGTCTGCGCGGAGTCTAGAATTATGCATCCAAATGCATACCAAATGCACTCGCTAAGCAGTATCATCGCGTCCATGCTGATCTAAGGCAGATAACCGTGCGATCCCTCGAGATCATTTCATGATTCCATGATTCGCGATCCTCGTGCGATCGAGGATCGCGGTAACAAGCCGATCG